AGTAGTAGTAGTAGTAGTAGTAGTAATGGTGGTGGTTGTGGCAGTCGTCGTCGTCGTAGTAGTAGTAGTAGTAGTAGTAGTAGTAGTCGTAGTCGTAGAAGTAGAAGTAGTAGTAGTCGTCGTCGGAGTCGTCGTCGTAGTAGTGGTAGTAGTAGTAGTAGTAGTAGTAGTAGTAGTAGTAATAGTAGTAGTAGTAATAATAGTAGGTTGGGTATCCGTGTTCGTATTTGTAGTCATAGTGTTGGTGGTCGTCAGTAGTAGTAATCTTTCTCGTAGGCGAAGTGGTAGTCGTTTGTTTAATTTTAGTCTTGGTAGTAGTTGTAGGTACACCAGAAGGGTTCGTGGTGCCGAATGTTTTCGTGTTTGCATTAATATTAGCGTTCCTGCTAGTGTTAGCATTCGTAGTCGAATCCGTATTTGAATTGATAGCAGTACTCGTATTGGGTTTCGTATTCGTACCAGTGTACCAGTATGCATTCGCACCCGCAGTCACTCTCGTATTTGTCTTAGTGTTTAGTATCGGTAGTATTTGTACTCATGTTAGTATCAGCGTGCGTATTTGCATGAGTGTTTGTATTCGCATGTTCATCCGCATCTGCAGCTTGATGCGTATTCGCATTCGCGTGCTGAGTCGCATTTGAACTCGCATTTGCATTCGCAGTCGAATTCGTATTCGTATCCGTACTTGTCAAAGTATGAGCGTGGGTATGACTGTGAGCACGAGTAAGAGTATGCTTATCATGCGTCTGGGTACGAGCAGTAGTCTGAGTAAAGATATCAGTTGGAGTAGGGGAGCGAGTAGGAGAGGTATTATGAGCACGACTATTATTGGGATTTTGATTCGGATTCTGACCATGATGATGAGTATTGGTATCGGTATGAGTATGAACCAGATTGTGAATATGAGGATGGGTGTGAGCATGAATATTGGTCAAGTAATTCAGGTCGAGCGAGTCAGAGGGCCCCGCCTGTTCCCATTTGCCCTCTCGCAGCAGACGACACAGGTTTGGCACGATCGGATCGTGGGATCGGACAGCGCTCCCACCCAGCGAACGGAAAGCGCTCGCGCGACCCCGCTTCCGATGACGTGGCGGAAGGCAAAACTACGCGGGCCGCGCAGGGGTGGGAGCGGCAACACCTCGGATGAGCGCGGCGGACACGAAGCATACGCTGCGCCGACGCAGCACTACCACTTTCACACACAACCTGCGCAGCGTTCGGGTGAGGTCGGCATTTCGCGTGCTCTCGCACGGCCCCGCTACCGCTTTCGCTGTCATGCGAATCGGCGACCAAACCCTGCGCTGCGCCCGCGCGGGAACTTCACTCCCGAGCAAACTGCGCACGTAGCCCGGGCGCGAGGGCGACGAGTCGCTCGCTCGAGCGGGCTCCCGAGCTTCGGCGAGTGCGAAATACGCAGCCGAAGTCTGCGCGGCATCGAGGCGAGGGGGACACGTTCGTCCGTTCGCGTGTCGACGACGTTGCGTGCGAAAAATGTGCCTCGCGCCCGGGAGGGAGCCCGATGCTTTCTGAAAGCTCCGGCGTCGCAGCGAGCGCGACATTTCGGCCTTTTTCGTGCGGGAAGTGCGCCCCGTCGCACTCCCGCCGAGCATTTTTCAACGTGGACGGCATCATGTCAATGTCGAGAGCGAAATTTCAACAGTTGGTATTTTTGTACGAATCGGATGGGGGGTGTCGGTTCCGGCCCCTATCCGACGCTTCTTCGGCAGAGTGGGAGTACATATCAACGTGGAATGAAGAGTTGAGTATGGGGATGAGTATGAGTTTGAGTATTCGTTCTCGTGTAGGTATTGATACTCGTATCCGTACAAGTACCAGTCTCAGTATCAGTGTTTGAATTCGTACGCGTAGTAATGTTTAGTGGTAGCTCAGTGGTCACATGAGCATTTGCCTTCGCATGTTCATCCGTGTGCGTTTTCGTATAGGATTGTTCATGTTTGTATTATTATTCGTATCAGTAGTGGTACAGGTATGGGGTTTTGTGTTGACACTAATAGTGGCATTTGCATTCGCATTCGCATTCGCGTTCGTATGATTATTCGAAGTCGTACTGGCATTCACATTCTTACTAGTTTCAGTGTTCGTTTGCGTTCGCATTTGCGTTCGTATTCGTATCATTGGTCTCAGCACTCGTATTCGTATTCGCATTCGTATTCGTATTCGTATCCGTATTCGTAATACTATTAGCATTCAGATTTTGATTCGCATTTGTGCTCGGAGTAGTATTTGGTATTCGCATTCGCATTCGTAGTAGTACTAGTATTCGTGTTAGTATTCGTATCTTTTTTTCGAGTACTAGCAGTATGTGTATTCGCATGTATATTAGTATAATTACCGCTGTCAGTATGAGTTTCGGTATTGGTGTCGGCATTGGTACAAGTGATAGTCTTAATATTCCATTCGTATTCGTATTTAATATCGCATTAGTACTCATACTAGTGTTCGTCCTACTAGTCGTTGTAGTATTAGTAGTCGTATTCGAAACATCATCAGTGTTATCATGAGCATTCGCATTCGTATTAGCATTCGCATTTGCATTTGCATTCGTACTCGCATTCGCATTCGCATTCACACTCGCATTCGCATCTGAATTAGTATTCGTAGCCCGTATTCGAATGCGTATTAGTAGTTGTATAGGTATCAGGACCAGACGTTTGTACAGTAGTATCATCAGGATCAGTATAAGTATCAGTATCACTATTCGTCTTAGTGTCAGCCGTAGTACTCTTATTTGCATTCGCGTTTGTATTCGTAGCCTCATCAGTATTCGGATTCGTGCTCGCATTCGAATTTCCAATCGCATTCGTAATCGCATTCGAATTCGCATTCTTACTCTCCGTCACAATCGTAAGCGTAATCATTCTCGTAATCGCAGTCGCATTTGCATTCGAATTCTTTTTCGCACTCGCATTCGTATTAGTATCGCGCTTGCACTCGCATCCGCACCAGCGTTCGCATTCATACAAGTATTCGTATCACGAATCGGCTTCTGATTCTCTTACTCTCATTCGTATTCGCATCAGTCTTCGTATTAGTAGGGGCTGTAGTTCTTGTGGCGGAAGTTGGAGGAGGGGGAGGGGGCGAGGCCAGACGAGCACACGCCGGTATCTTCGACGTCACGCCCTTCCGTGGCGTGGGCCCCCCCCGGAGCTGTGGACCCCATCCGCGGGCGGGGCTGGCTCTCCACCCCCCGGGGCAGCCTTTCGGGCGGTCCTGGGGCCCTTGACGGGCCCTCGGAGGCCTCTGGAGGCCCAAGGGCGCAAGCAGCGTCCGCCTCTTTCTCGGCGGAGAGCGAGGGGGGGGGAATGAAGGGAGAGGGAGAAGGCCTTCTCAGAAGGGTCGGAAGTCCCCGGGCCTTCTGAGACGTTTTCTAGACCTCCCCGGAAGACGCCGAAGACCCTTCAGAAGGCGCGAGGGTTTCTGAGAAGTCCCGCCGCCTTCTGAGAAGGCCTTCCCCTTCTCGCTTTCCCCCCTCGCTCGCCGCCGGTTCTCTCCCTGAAGAAAGAGCACGGCACAGACGTGAGATTTCCGGAGCCCCGCGCGGATTGCCTGGATCGGTGCCGGGCCTCCCTGGCGGATGTGCCTATTGCGCCGCCCCGGGCGCGCTCTGCGCGCCAGGGAGGGGGCCCCAGGCGCCGACCCAAGACGTCCGCGCGGAGCTCCAGAACTACAGGTCTATGCAGTTTTTGGTCCCTCTACCGTCGTCGTCGTCGTCGTCGTCGTCGTCGTCGTCGTCGTCGTCGTCGTCGTCGTCGTCGTCGTCGGAGGCCAGACAAGCATACGACCGTACTGGAGATGCTATTATCCGAACACGAACGCCATAATATACGTCGTGGACTCGGCGGACCCCGATCGCATCGGGGACTCCAAGGAGGAGCTGAGGCCCGCCGCCGCCTGGCGGCCCCCCCCGGGGAGGGGCCTCCCTGCTCCCCCTCTCGAGGAGAGGGGCGCGAGAGCGCGGGGGCGCCTCCGCGGGCGCCGCGGCGTGGGGTGCTGGCTGCGAGAACGCGAGGCGGCTAATCAGCGCAAGCGCTGGGCCGAAGCCTGACGAGGAAGAGGTCTCAGACTCACTCACACTCGTACTCACTCAGCGCAGACTCATTCACACTCCGACTCGCTCGTACTCAAACCCACTCACACTCATGCTCACTCTACTCAGACTCACTCACACTCATAATCAGTCATACTCAGACTCATTCAGATGTGCGACGCACTCGCGCGCAGACTCGTAGAGTGCGAGGATGTCTCGTGCGAGGTGGCTTGGCCTTGTGGGTTGTCAGAGCAGAATGTGAGGATAGCTTAGGCACGGCGCTGCTCTGTGGGAGACGCCAGGGTGCTATCACAGGCCCGTTCGCGCCCAGATCGTGGGGATGTCTCAGGCGGTTTGCCTGTTTGGTGGCCTGGACTTGCGTGCTTTCAGATTGGGAGTGCGAGGATGTTTTTCAGGCGAGGCGCTGGTTGCAGCACCCCACGGGGGAGCCGCCGGGGTTGTGAACACGGCCCCGTTCGCGCCCAGATCGTGGGGATGTCTCGGGCGGTTGGCCCCTTTGGGCCTGCCAGACTCCTGTGCTTCGAGAGCAGCTTGCGAGGATGTTTCAGACCAGGCCTTGGGAACCCCGTCGAGCCCCGAGGAGCTCTAGGAAGCTCCAGGACATCCCCTCGAGGGAGCCCCCCGGGAGTCGCGAGAAGCTCCAGGGCGCCCCTGGAAGCTCTTCGGAGCCCCAGGAGGAGCAGGAAGCCGGGAGTTCCCGGGAGGCTCCCGGAGCCCCAGCGAGTTCCCAGGAGCTCCCAGGAAGCTCCAGGACGCTCCAGGAAGCTCCATTGAGGCCTCGGACGCCTTACTACTACTAGTAGTAAGCGCCAGGGAGCTCCCAGGAGCTCCTAGCAATCCCAGGGAACTTGATGTACTAGGCGGATTCCTTGTTTGGTTGCCGAGACTCCAATTGCTGTCGTAGCAGATTGTGAGGATGTCTCAGGTGAGGCGCTGGTTTCAGCACCCCAGAGGGGGGCCGCCAGGGGGTATCTGGTTGATCTGGCTGATCCAGTTGATCTGGATGATTTGATGAATCCGTCTGTTCCAGCTGATCCGGCCGATCTGACTGATTCGGTGGATCTGGTTGACACTCCAGTTGGTTTGGCTGATCCCGCTGATGCAGCTGATTCCGCTGATTCGGCTGATCTGATCCAGTTGATTTGGCGGTTGATCCAGTTGATCCAGTTGATCCGGGTGATCCGGTTGGATACAATTGATCTGGCTGATGTGGCTCATCCAGCTGATCCAGCTGATCTGGGTGATCCAGCTGATCCAGTTGATCTGGCTCATCTGGTTAATCCGATTGGCCCGACTGATCCGGCTTGTCCAGCTGATCTGGTTCATCTGATTGATTTGGCTGATCCTGCTGATCTGGCCGATCCCTTTGATCTGGTTGATCCAGTTGATCCGATTGTTGTGGCTGTTCCGGTTGATCCGGCTGAGAAGACTGTTCCGCTCGATCCGGTTGATTCGGCTGACCTGTCGATTTAGCTGATCCGGCTGATCCGGCTGATCCGGCTGATCGGGTTAAGTGGTTCACCGATCCGGTTCTCCGGTGACCCATTTTGGCCAAAGATCGGCGTCACCCCAACATGCTTAAACTATATGTGCGTCGCCCCCCAGGGGCGACGCGCGCACCGAAAAATTTTGCAGTATATGCGTCGTGGCGTGCCCTTTCTGGCCACACCGCTCGGGAGACGATGTACCACAAGATGGGTATGCTGCATGCTCGGGTTGGACGCGCGCCTCCAAGGAGGACATCTAGTGTTCGTATGTCTCTGTGCGTCCCAAAAGAAGCCTTTGGTCGGGATGCATCCGGAAGTCCCGACCCTTCCCCAGGGGCCGGCATTCCATCCCGAGCCTTTCTTCGGGAGCCTTGAGACGGGGGTCAATGCAGACGGGGGTCAGCCAGGGCGCCAGATCCTGCAGGATCCTGCGAAGACCCCCTCTGGCTGACCCGGGTTAGCGAGCCGCTCGTGGCCGCGAGGCGGCCGCGCCTATTGGCTGACCCGGGTTTGCGAAGACCTGCATTGCAGTTTTTTTTCCTGCAGTGCAGCTTTCTGGTCTCCTGTTGACCCGGGTCTGGATTGACCCGGGTCAGAAGATCCCCGATCTCTTGGCGGCCCCTCGGCCCGTCGAGGGCAGCCATGGGCCGACCACAGCAGACAAACACAGATTTCGGCCTGGCTTCCTCGAGGGGTCGCTTGTCGGGGTTCCGGGCCGACTCGGCGGTCGGGCCTCCTCCTCCTTCCTCCTCCGCGGCCGTTCTCTTCCTCCTTCCACCTTCCTCCTCCTCCCTCCTGCTCCTCCTCCTTCCTCCTTCCTCCTCCTTCCTCCTCCCTCCTCCTCCTCCTCCTCCTCGTCGTCCTCCTCCTCCTCCTCCTTCCTCCTCTCTCCTTCCTCCTTCCTCCTTCCTCCTCCACCCGCGTCGCGCGCCCCGCGCCTGGTGTGCCTCGACCCGTGCGCCTGCGTCCGCCGGCGCTGCCGCGCAAGCAGACGAGAGCCCGGGTGCCGACCTCGGCCTGTGAGTGCTGGAGTACGGGATCGTCTGCAGCATTGATTTACCCCAGAATTGATTTTCTCGTCGAGTCAAACGTGGGATGTTTGTAGATCTACGAACGTTCTGCGCATTTCTCATGGATTCGACGAGAAAATCAGTTTTGGGGTAATTCAATTCTGTAGTCGATCCCCTGCTCGAAGTGCCGTGCCACTGCCGGCGCCGCGGCGGGAGGGAGCAGTTGCCTCGGGCTTGTCCCTGCAGTGTCGAGCAGTGGCGAAGCGTCCTGGCTCGCCCATAGCCCTGCCAAACAATGCTCTAAGACTGTCTTGGTTTATCACCTCGGGTTTATGTTCTAAGAACATTGTTTTTGTTCTAAGAACATTTTCTGGGTTTTAAGAACATGTCGTGGTAGGACTATAGGAATGCCAGGGCGGTCGGGCCCTGCTCAAGCAGTGGAAGCCCATGCCAAGAAACACCCGGCTTGCCTCCAGGATGCCCTGGGTTGGACGTCCTGGGGTCAGGGTTGGGTTTCTTGTGAATGGTCTCTTGTGGTCGAGCTCCTATTGCAGCCCTGAGATGGACAAGCCCGGCAGCGATGACAATCCGAGGGATGCGCGCTCAGAATGTGAGGGAAGCCTCGGCATCGGCGAGACAGGGTGATGCTAGGCACAGGGATGGAGATCTGCTTCAGGCTGGTAACTTGCCTCACCTCGCGCGCCGCGCCCCTCTTCGTGCCCTCGCGCAGCCCCCAGCACGGAAGGGGGCAACTCTCCAGCCTGGACCGCGACGCGCTTCGCGCGACGCGCGAAGCGCAGTGGCAGTGTCCTCCGGAGACGCCCCCGCTTCAGCTCTCTGACTCCACGGCCCCCCCCCCTGCCCCTCAAGAGATCGGCCGAGGCCAGGCCACCGGCCGCGAGGACGGGCGGCGATCCCAGGCAACCGCACGAGCGACGCAGCACAGCGGGGTCCTCTTCACCGACGCTGGCGCGTCAGCTGCACGCGCAGGCCCGCGCGTCAGGGCCCTCGTCTCCACTGCGGCGTGCCGCGCTGGCGGCCCGCGCAAGCCGCCGCGGAAGGTCGCTGCGTCGTCTCGCGCAAGACGCCGCGTGAGGTTTCTCTTCGTCGCCCACGTGGGGAGCTGCTTCGGGCTGGTGAGGGGTGGCCGTGCCCGCCGCCGCTGGCCGCGGCGCCCGACTGCTGCTGGGGGCTGCCCGGGCCGCACCCCGTGGCGCGGCCAAGAGCTCGCCCTCGCCGGCGGCCCGCCCGCCGGAGTGTAGTCGGGCTCTCGGCTGTCTTCTGGGGCTGGCGGCCAGGGGCCCAGGGGAGACGATTGGGGGGGGGGATTGGTCAAGCCGCACCTTTGGAGGACCTCGTCTCTCCCAAAACAATTGGAGTCTTTCTCTTGTGCCCGACGCGGGCTCGATGCGGACTCGACGCGGATTTGGCGTGGATTCGACGCGGATTCGCCGAGTTTGACATGGATTCGACACGGATTCGACGCGGATACGGTCGCGACGGGACAGACAAGGTTCAGGGGGGAAAAAACACACAGACACAATCAATCGTCAACTCCCAGGAAAATATGGCAAAATATGGGAAGTGGGGGGGAAGAATAAACCCAGAAGATATGGGAAAATATTGGGAATCCTGTTATTCGTGTGTGTTTTTCTTTGTGTGTCCCAGGGCCACTTCAAAGGTCACCCGAGGATGCAACGTAGGATAGGCTCAGGGAGGGATGTATCGATCCCCAATCGCCCACACATCGCCGATGGTCTGCGGCGAGCCCGGGGGCCTTCCAGCGGCCACGGTCCTTCTGAGAAGTTTTCTAAGCCTCCTCCCCCTCCTCCTCCTCCTCCTCCTCCTCCTCCTCCTCCTCCTCCTCCTCCTCCTCCTCCTCCTCTCCTCCTCCTCCTCTCCCCCTCCTCCTCCTCCTCCTCCTCCTCCTCCTCCTCCTCCTCCTCCTCCTCCTCCTCCTCCTCTCCTCCTCCTCCTCCTCCGCCGCCCCTCCTCCTCCTCCTCCTCCTCTCCTCCTCCTCCTCCTCCTCCTCCTCCTCCCCAAGACCCCCCCCGTGAACGTGCGGCTTCACTATCGTGGGCCTATCGCCGCTCTATTGGCGATGCATCGCCGATTTGAAGTCGATGTTCCCACCCCCCTGCGCCAGTCCCCCCCTATCGCTGCCCCCATGGGGACTTCCGGGGGGTTTGAGTCCGTTCATGCGAGGCGTGGAGCAGCATCGAAGAAGAACAAGCGGCATACTTCGGAGACGAGCGAGGTGGGGAACCGAGAAGGAAAAGGCCTTCTCAGAAGGCGGCGGGGTTTCCGAGAAGCCCTCGCGCCTTCCGAGAAGTCCTCCGTGTCTTCGGGATGGGCTTAAACAACTCCTTAAGGCCAGGGGATTTCCGAGCCACTAGGAGGCATCGTGGGCATCTTGGATCAATGTTCGGCCGCCCTGCGGCCATTTTGGGCCGTCTTAGAGGCATCTTGGGCCCTCTTGCTGTCCTTGGTTGCCTGCACGGGCCGTCTTGGAAGCGCGGGGCGCAGATCCATCGTTTTTAACAGGGAACCGTTCCTGGGTAGGCACAAGGCTCGCCCTTTCTCACTTCCACCCCCCCGGGCTCGCCGCCGAATAAGCAGAAACTTTCGGAGCCCCTTCCTCCTCCTCCTCCTCCTCCTCCTCCTCCTACTCCTCCTGCTCCTCCTCCTCCTCCTCCTCCTCCTCCTCCTCCTCCTCCTCCTCCTCCTCCTCCCTCCTCCCCCTCCCCTTCCCCTTCCCCTCTCCTTCCTCCTCCTCCTGCCCCCCCCCTCCCCTCCCCCTCCCCCCCTCACCCTGTTCTCCTCTCCCTCTCCTCCTCTCCTCCTCCTCCTCCTCCTCCTCCTCTCCTCCTCCTCCTCCTCCTCTCCTCCTCCTCCTCCTCCTCTCCTCCTCCTCCTCCTCCTCCTCCTCCTCCTCCTCCTTCCTCCTCCTCCTCCTCCTCCTCCTCCTCCTCCTTTTCCCTCTCCTTTTCCTCCTCTCCTTTTCCTCCTCCTCCTTTTCCTCCTCCTCCTCCTTCCCCTCTCCTCCTCCTCCTCCTCCTCCTCCTCCTTCTTCGCCTCCTCCTCCTTTTCCTCCTCCTCCTTTTCCTTCTCCTCCTCCTCCTCTTCCTCCTCCTTTCCTTTTTCTTATAAGCCATGATTTTGGAACAAAAACCCAGTCATCATATTTCCAGGCTATAGGGCTAAGGGGCTATAGGCTGTAGGGCCATAGGGCTATAAGGCTCTGGGGCTACAGGGCTATAGGGCTATAGGGCTCTAGTGCTATAGGGCTATAGGGCTAGAGGGCTATGAGGCTGTACGGCTATAGGGCTATAGGGCTACCGAGCACTTGGGCACCTGTGCACCTGTGCACCCAGGCACCCGGGCACCCGGGCACCTGGGACCCAGGCACCCGGGCACCTGGGCACCCAGGCACCCAGGCACCCGGGCACCCGGGCACCCGGGCACCAGGGCACCTGGGCACCGGGGCACCCGGGCCAGTTTTTGAGGCGGACCGGGCGTTTCGCTTGAGACTTCCTCACCATTTATGGTTCTGAAGCTTAAAAGTTGGCAACAGTTTTGCAGATGGAGGGCGGTCGTTTTCAAAAGATGGCTCTCGCCTTAACGCGGCGCACATTTGTTTTCAACATTTGCAAGAGCTTGAGGGATTCAGGGCGGGTCCTTTTCAAAAGGTGGCTCTCGCCTTAGCGTGGAGCACACTCGTTATAAACATTTGCAAAAGTTTCGCGTATTGAGGGCGGGTGTTTTTTAACATGTGGTTCTCGCCTTAGCGCGGCGCACATTCCGTTGGAATTCCGAGAACAATGTTTTGGCATGCTTAGGGTCTTTAAACGGTTGTCTTCCAACGAGTCAGTTCCCTCAATGGAAATACTTTTGTAGGGGCCTATGAAGAAGGAGCTTGGAAGGTAGGTTTATTCCAACATCGTTGATGGCTCTTGGGTTTACACTGGTCCTCCTCCTCCTCCTTTCTTCCTCCTCCTCCTCCTCTTCCTTCCCCTCTCCAAAATGTGCGCTGGAACAAAAAATTAAACCTTCGGAGCCCTTCGCGGTTTTCCCTGCAGCGGGTCGCTAGGCGTCCATGGCAGCGCCCCGCCCTTTTTTTTTTTTTTGCGCGCGCCGAGGCGCGCTTCAGGCAGAGTGTTCAGTCGGGCATGTTCCTCTGCACGAGGGATATGCAAAAATAGTAAGGGATATTCTGGGGACGATTCTTCTTTTTTTGTGTGTGTGTGTGTCTATTTGTTAGGTTTCGCCCAAAATCCGCCTGTAGGGAGACGCGCCAGACCTAAGCGGAGTCGGGCTCGGCGCGGCGCCGAAAAAGTCCGCGTTCGGACCTCCGAAAGTTTTCCGCTCACGAGGCTCCTCCTGGGGCGCTGCTCTGCCCTAGCAGATCCCAGGAGGTGGCTGCCGCACTAGGTTTTCTTGGTTGTTCTTGCCCGTCGGTCGTTCGAAGCAGGCATGGTCGGATGCCCAGATGTTGATCTACTTTATGCGCCCTCCTACTTCAAGGATCGCGCGGTTCCCTTCTCCCCTCCTCTTCAGGGGGCGGACGGAAGCCCAATCTTCTTCAACGCCTTCCTACTTCATGTTTCTACCCACTTCTTCCAACCGACGGGTAGGCATTCCCAGACGGCGCCTGCCCGAGGCGTTACGTCACCAGGTGCGGGGGGGCGGGCGGCGCCGGTAACGGCCGCCGTCGCGAAAGACAAGAGACGCTCTCCAGGTTGGAAACTGGAACATATGAATTACCAGCGGTGGGCTGTTTTACCCCCCCGGGATTTTTTCAGGGTCAGGGACGACGTCGGGGTGGTGTGGTGTATATTTTGTTTGTCCGTTTCCTGGGGAAACGACGGAACATGTATACCCCAGGGTCGCGCATACACCAGGATCCGCTTTCCTGTGCAAGTGTCAGCGCAGGTCCAGAAAAAAGCGTCGGTGCATAGAGTTTGTTCCCCTAGAAATGGCTGGATCGGAGGGTGAAAACGGGAGTGTCCCGCGGGAACCCCGCTCTTCGGCAGCGAAGTCCGAACCCCACCCTCGCCGATCAATGATTCAAGGTACGCGATGGGCGGCAGGGGTAGGTTTCGGAATTCGCCGAGCACGCGGCGAAATCCGAACCCTATCCCCGCCTCTCATCGGTTCAGAGGAGGCGATGGTCGGTGGCGGCAGGGTTCGGTCGTCGCCGCCTAGTTTTGAAGCGGGGACACCCTCCAAAGGCGCAGCTGTTGCGCAAGGCTGCGCGTCGGGCCGCGCAGTCTAAGGAAGTGTTGAGCGTCAGTACCCTTTCGAGCTGGGAGCCGCTCTCCGCTTGCGTATCCGGTACATTGGTTGCACGTGCGACGCGCCAAGGCAGGAGCCACGTTTTGAAAACGATCCGCCTTCCATCCGTGCATCCGTTGGGGTTGTATTGCCTTGGGGCCCAGAAGCGGAGCGAAACGCCATAACCACCCCCCCGACAAGTCTAGTGGTGCACCGAAGAGGAGTTACTTGTTGTTCATGATGAATAGGAATTGAGGGAAAGAGTGAGGGGAGAGGAGGGCGAGTGGAAGGGTATGGCAGGTGTTTAGTTCTCACACGAACGCCACGAACTGTCTAAGTCACTCTCACCCTTCCCTCTACCACATCAGTAGCACCCACTACTCATCGTCGGCCGCGGTATCCATCCCGTGTACAGCCTCTGGGAACCAACGCCTACGCCAGGCAGGCCGCGATTGCGAGCTGCACCACGCGTGCCACGAGCGCCACGTGCATCACGTGTACCTGGTACCCCAAGTCAGGAACCGAAGCAAGTCATGCGCGCTTGGTGCGCCATGAGCCAAGTGCGCCAAGTTCGTCACTTGCGCCAGGTACGCCAGTCGCGCAGAGTGCGCTGGTGCACATGACATCGCGCATTGGGCAAAGCGTCTACAACCCCGCCGTGCCTGTCGAAACCGATGCCAGTCGGCGGCAGGCTAGGCAGCATCTCGCATGGTGAGTGTGCGTCTTTCAAGAAGGCTGGTGGACCAGCGTGCAGCGGACAATCCACTCTTAACCTGCCACCCCTGAAACCTACCAGTGGAACAATGAATATGGGATGCCCGCACACGGTCCAGCGTCTGCGGCAAGGCACACGTCGCACTGTTCTCGATTCGGGATGTTTTGTAGCCTGGGCCGACGGCCACTCCACTGGGGAAGGGGATGCTTCTGACAACATGCGGAGGGTCGGCGTACGAGGCATGATGAGGACGGGCATTATCGCCGCGCAGGGGGAATACACGCCGGTCGTTGACAGTAGGTATTTTCGGATTCCCAGATCCCAATCTACGTCAAGCGCTTTCCTACTTCAAGATTCGACATACTTTTGCTGTGTTTTGTTATTCTCTGGGAGGACCTGGACCCAATCCACTATATCAGCCTTCTTATCTTCATGTTTCTACCTACTTCTTCCGACCGACGTGTAGTGAGGGGGGGGGGTAAGGGGGGAGGAGGAGAGAGGGGGAGGGGGATGGGTTGGAGGACGACAGGGAGGGAGATGAGGCCAAGGCGAAATAGGAGAAGAAGGTGGGCGCCCCCGAGGCTCATGCTGGAGGAGGAGGAGCTGAAGGACGTGACGCTGCTGGTGCTGGCCAACAAGCAGGACCTACCCGGGGCCATGAGCGCCGCAGAGGCTCTGTCGCGCGGCCCGCATCGTCCTCGTCCTCGTGCTCGTGCTCGTCCTCGTCGTCCTCGTCGTCCTCGTCGTCCTCGTCGTCTTCGTCTCCTCCACCTCCTCCTCCTCTTCCTTCTCGTCCTACTCCTCCTCGAGGGGGATGGCGTCGCCAACGTCGTCGTCAGCGTCTTCCTTTCCAATTGCCCCCGTGCCCCGTGCGAGGAAGCGCAGGGGGGAGGGGGCCTCCTCCTCCCCCTGCGCACGAACGCCAAAACGGAGGGAGGATGAGGAACGACGAGGAGCCTGGAAGGACAATGACGACGAGCAAGGAGGAGGAGGAGGAGGAGGAGGAGGAGGAGGAGGAGGAGGAGGAGGAGGAGGAGGCGTGGGAGGAGTTGGAGGAGGAATAGCGCTGCAATTCGAGGGTTGAAGCTGGCGCAGCGTCAGAAAGGTTAGAAGAAGAGGAGGGAGAGGAACAGGAGCGAGGAGGAGCGACGAGGAGCGATCACCAACGAGGAAGAACGAGCGGAAGGACGAGGGCAATTCCATGTTGGCGCTCGTGAGGCATCTCACGTCATCAGCATGATGAGCCAGTGAGCCAGTGTTCAAAGCAAATTTTTGGGCGGCAGAGTGTCGGGTCCACCAGGCTGCGTGTGGCGACGTGTGTTTCAACGGTGGTGAGATCCCCGCTTCTGCCTGGCGGGCTGGGGCAGAAGAGCGCGTGTGCTCGACGACGCTCCTTGTTAGAGAACCAGGGGTGGCTTAGGCCAGGGGGCCCCGATTACACAAGCAGCTTTGGGCAGTGCTCCGTTCAAGCCAGGCCCATTCGGTGAAGATCTTGGTTGCGTGCTTCCTCGCGGCAGCCCAGCTTATGTTCGGGAGGTCTTCGACGGCGCTGGGGCGCGTCGGGGTGCGAGGTTTTCGGCTGGGGGCTTCGGCCTGGACGGTTCCACGACTGCAAGGCGCAGATGTGTGCCCATCTTTCGTTGAAAGTAGGCATTTTCGGATTCCCAGATTACAATCTACTTGAAGCGCCTTCCCACTCCAATGATCGAGCATGGCTTCACCGTTTCCGTCCTCCCACGGGGACAGACGGAACCCAGTCTACTTTCAACGCCTTCCCACTTCATGTCGTACCTTCTTCCCTCGGTCGATGGGTAGCTTCAGTTTCCCTCCAGGAGCGGAGCGCTCGGCGGGGTGGGGTCTGCCGTCCGGCCGCGGCGCTCTCGGCGCGTCCCTGGGGCGCGCGGGCCTTCTTTGTGCGAGGCTCGCCCTGGCTCGCCGTGCCCGCTCCCTCCTCGTTCCAGCAGCGCGGCTTCTCCGGGGCGTCGCGCGGCGTGCCTTCCAGAGGCCCAGGGTGCTGCAGCAGAGCTCGAGGCGTTACAGGGGAATCCGGGGCGTTGATCGGGCGCCGTGCAGGGGGCATCTGTCGGACGACTGCGCTGCGGGAGGGGTTGCTGCAGTGTTGGCGGCTTCCACCAGCTCGTGCCGGACCTCGGGCAGGCGGGGCGGCGGGCTTCCTATGGCGACTCGCTGTCGCGGCCCGCCTGGGGTATCGGCCATCATGGCCGTGCCCGCGCCGAACGTCTGTGACAGCAGTGCGGCTCGGAAGGATTGCCTTCTGAAGTCGTGCAAGGTTCGTGCCCTCGCGGATCTTCGCATCCGCCTGATTCTGGGGGCCTGGACGTCTGCGCGGATGGAAGGCGGGGGAGGCCTTGGTGGATGGGCCTCCAGGCGTGGGTGATCGCCGGACGCGTTGATGCGTTCAGTTCACTGCGTGAATTCTGCGG